CCCCCTTCTCTCTCTCTCCCCCCCCTTCCCTCACACTCTCTCTCCCGTTCCCTCTCTCTTTTTCTCATCCCATCTCGTTCCATCACCCCTTCTCTATCTATCTTGCCCCATCCCTCTCTCTCACCCCTTCCCTCCCTCCCCATTCCTTCTACAATCCTCTCTTTCTCGACTCCCGCCTCGTTCCCTTCTCTAAGCGGGGTTTGGTGGGTGGGGGGGGGAGCGTGGGTGGTGTGGTGGGGGTTGTGGGTCATCGTAAAGCCAGGATTTGGGGTGGGGGAGGGATTTTTGTTGGGCTTTGGGTGATTGGGGCGAGTACACGGTTCAGGATCACGGGACGGGGGAGTTGCAGGGTGGGGTGGGGGGGGAGGAGCGTATTAATTGGCGGAATGGAACTTAAACATTTCCCTGAGGTGCCGGGGTGGGGGGTGTGAGGGGGGGGGGGGGGGGGGGGGGGGGGGGGGCGTTGGGGGAGTGGTTGAGGAGGCTTCTTTAGTCCTTCCCTCTTCAGGACCGTTCTGCAAGAAAACCAAACGCGGCCATGGCAAGCAACCACCTGCAGAAACAGGGGCTGATGGGTACGATGGCCACATCCCCCCACTCCACCACAAGCCGTTACCTGTCACTCATCGGTTGCGGGTGTCGCCAGCTGGGGAGGGCGGCAGCCTCGCGTGACTGGGGGAGTTTCCTTCCGCCGGCGAGGAACACGCTCCCTGCGGCCTCGTATCCCTCGCTTCCAGGGCAAGTGAGCGGAGCTGAGCAGCTTCCTCCTGTTTCCTGGGTGACAGGCTCGGGGTGGAGGAGGGGGTGAATGGCCTCCTGTTCCCGAATGAAAGCTGATTTCTGTCTCCCCTTTTCACTCCCCCTGCTTCCCACCCCCCCGACAGATGGAGATGCGGAAGGCAGTGACGGATTTTATCCAGGAGGAGATGTGGGCGCTGAAGGCCAGAGCGGAAGCCGTGCACCGACAGTACCATCGAACCCGGGTCGGGTGGCCAGGCAGACCCTAGCGAGGCCGCGGGACCCCCACCCCTGGGTGGGGAGGAGGGTGGGGAGCCGTCCCGGGTCCTGTCCCGCTGCCCCCTCCGCTTACCCGCCCCCCACCCCACCCCAACACCACCTCTTCCTCCCTCAGCCCATCATCGTCCTGACCGGCCCGGAGGGGGTGGGGGAGAAGGGAGGTTGGGAGGCCGGGGTGGGGTGGGGCTCTCCCTGACGTTCCCCCCACCTCTGCTGTCGGGTTCATGCCCCTTCCGACCCCGATATCGCTGGCGCTGACTTGGTGATGAGGCCCACGCAACCCCCCCCCCCCCCCCCCCCCCCCCCCCCCCCCCCCCCCCCCCCCCCCCCC